TTTTGTCTGTTTGTTTAAGACAATACTTAGTATGAATTATTTCAGTTTTACACACTTTCATATAGTTACACAATAATCTGCCCAGTTCATATCACCAATGCAAGACAAAATCAAAAAACAGGGCAAACACAACCCTTGGCCTTAAACTCACCTGTAAACAGAAAACAAAATACCCACTGGCACTCTGCTCTGCGATGACATCTTCCATCGTGCGCAGGGTGGTGCCCAAGTAGGAATTCAGGAGCTGGGTGGGAAGTAAGCCAAGTGAAGATGCCATCAGATAGTTGGGTAATGAGAGATCAGTAATCTAAAAGAGGAGATGAAAGGGAGTTTCAATATCAAGGGCAATTTAATGTAAAGTTGTGGCTTTAGTCTTCCCAGAGGTTTACCTTTGGGAGTAGCGGGAGATGACATTACAAACACATTACAAAAGAGTCTGATTTTTAACAATGATTACAAAAGGAATACATGCAAAGTGTACAAAATTTTGAGGAAATGACTTAAAGAGAAATTTGAATATTCTACTTCTATTATTCCACCATCGACCAACTGCCTTTATGGCCTCTCATTTTTCTTACATAGAAACACAGAAACACAAGACACAGATCACACTGCAGTTGTGTGAGTTGTTCGCACATCACTATCAGCACACTGAAAAGCGCAAGGTTGGGAACTGCACTCTGAAGCCAGGCATTCCAGTGCTGAGCTCGACGCAGAGAAAGCTAAGCAGGCTGCCCAGCTGTACAAGGAGGACCTAACGCCACTTACACGGTTGTTATTCACATCAGAAAGGTCTCTGCAGTGCCTACCAAATGTCTCACACACGACAGAAACTAAAAAAAAAACAAAGTAGAAATGATCCCTGCTGCACAAGTATCCCACAGGATGGCTGTAGCCCAGTTTTACCATCTTCCGCCGCAGGCCATTTCAATCCCTACCATATGTATTTCTTTGTGAAAGCATAATTATGTATTCATTCTTTTTACGGTTAAAGTCTTTAAAATGATGAAGAGCCTTCAGAGATGAACCTATGTGGTGGGCAGCGTCAACAATATCCCCACTGGCCCCAGCTAATTGTACATACATGGCCTTGGGTGTGGCTGGACCTAGTGCTTACACCCAGCAAATACGCGTAGAATTGAGAATGTCACTTCAAGGTTAGGTTCCCAAGAGATGGCGACTTGCATTTCACTCATTCTCCCTCCAAGGTGCAAGCCTGCCACGTTGTAACTATGTGGTAGCACATGGCAAGGAACTAAAACTGTAGTCAACAGCCGCATGAGTGGGCTGGGAAATGGATCCCCCCCATTCCCACTCCCAAACTCTAGCTTTACGATGTAGAAGCAGAGGTCTAAGGGGAAACTTTGTGGGGAGAGGGGCATTTAAAATGGACAGTGACAGCCAAACATGGGGTTGGCAGGCAAGGACCTATGGGGTGAGGCAGGCAGGGTGTTCTGGGAGGAGAACGAGGAGGACAAGTGGTGGGGAAGGTACGGGTGTACAGATGAAGCTGGCACTATGGTTTGGATTGTTCTTAGGGCCCGTACAGGGGAGTCCTGTGAGACAAAGACAGGAAAAGTTATCAGGATGCACAGTTTCTGTCCACAGCCTTCAACTATAACTAGGTCTCTCTAGACAGAGCACATAATTGACCTTCATGGTGGGCATCCATAATATCCACATGGCCATTTTAGGAACGTATTTCAAAACTATGAAATGACTCTGCTAATCAACTCTTCAACAAGACTGCCACTGGAGCTTATCAAACTTCATGACCACATTTCATCCCCGGGAAAAAAAACAAGCCTGAGGATTCCAGCGTTTCTTTTCTGAAAAACTGTAACGGAAGAGCAAAACTAGCTAATTTCATCAAATCATGGCAAATCGCTTTGCTTGAGTTTCCCATTCCAAGTCCTCAGTACAACCTTGTCTTCCTGTACTCGCTACTTCACTTAAATCCTTCAAAATATTTTTGTTTCTAATCTAAACCTATCCCTGATTAACTCTCTGCTCTTGCCACCAGAATGTGGTTCGGCTTCGTCAACTGTCTGTCATGATCAGCCCCTGACTCTCACAGGCTTCACCTCACAATGTTCCGGCCACAGCAGTTCCTACAGCATTCCTGGCTCTTCCCTTCTGGGCCTTTGTGCATTGTTCCTTGGGGTACAGACACTGCCTCACGCCCTCCCACTCACTACTCAGACATCAATTCCTGAAGAAATCTGCCCTGATCCCTGAACCCCACGTAAGAACACAATGTGTCCCTGTCCCCTGTCACACTAGAGTCAATGAAGTTTTCGTCATCGGGCGAAGTCTCACTTCTTTCCTTTATCAGTCTTGTTCTTCGGTGTCCCTCGTCCTTACCACAATCCTTCTGTAGGTTAGGCCCGAAACACCTGTTGGTGAGATGTCGAGCATGTCAACATCAAAATTCAAATTTTGTTTAGAGAGTTGGGAATTAAAAACAGTTTCCAGTTCACAAGTGAATTTATAATTGGCTGGCTGTTCAGAAATTGTGAGTACCTTTTCTCTCTCAACAGAAGTAACGGATTTAAGTGTAAATAACTTCACTATCAGCAACACGTAGGCCATGACATAGGGCGAATGCATTAGAATGCATTACTCCACTAGATTGCAGATGCCTCCAGGGACAGGGGAGGAACTTGGCTTTATTCACTGCTGCATCTCAGCATCTTGAACAGCAGCAGGCGCATAACGGGCACACAGCAGTTATCTGTGAGGACTACTGAATGAATGTGAGAGCCCTAACGGGAACCTCAGAGGCAGGAGGCCAAGGCTCATGTCCTCGGGTTTGGCCACAACCCTAAGTAGTGGGAACTGCTGTTGTGCTGTTGGGGTGGGAGGGGGTGGGAAAAGAACCGAGCAGGTTCTTAGTGGGCCCCTATAGCAGCAGGTGAGGGATTCAGTATAGGGACACGTCCACTGACAGATGTTAGGTACATCATACCCTACAACGACAGGGGCAACCGCGATCCTCCCAGACACAGAGTCTCATTAGTTTGGTGTCCTTGGCTCACAACCTGCCTTCGCTGCCTCCTGCAGATTAGAAGCCTCACGCGAGTTCTCTTTGCCTTGTCCTCCTTATAAGGCCCAGCTCCAAGCGGGGTCACGGTACGGTCACTAAGACTCAAGTTAGACTAGGAACACAGATGTTCATTCTTTCAGGGAAAGGAGGGCTACAAAGCTCATTTGCAATTGTTAAAAATATAAGAAAAAGCATAAATTAACAAATGCAGAGACTGGACATGTTAACATTAAAGTGCTAACGATTGTTTTATTTTCTTTGTAGTTGCTATGCTTCTATCTTTTTAAATCATTGTGTGGGGGGCTCATATAGCTCTTCTCACAATCCATACATCCATGTGTCAAGCACGTTTGCACCCATTGCCATCATCCTTTTCAAATCATTTTATTTCTACTTGAGTGCTTGGTATCAGCTCATTTTTTCCCTCCCTCTCCCGCCCTGCAACCCTCATGAACCCTTGATAAATTATAAATTGTAATTATTTTCTTATCTTATACTTTCCGCTGTCTCCCTTCACCCATGCTTCTGTGGTCACTGTGTGTGTGGGGTGTGTGTGTGTTATATGTTGAGTCGATCACTGCGATCAGTTCCGCCCCCTTTCTCCGCCTTTTCTCCCCCTACCCCCTTGGTACCGCTCTTATATTTTCCGCTGTCTCTTTTCACCCATGCGTCTGTGGTCACTGTGGGGGGAGGAGGGGTGTTATATGTCGATCATTGCGATCAGTTCCCCCTCTTTCTCCTCCTACCCCTATGGTACCGCTACTCTCATTATTGTTCCTGAGGGGGTTATCTGGCCTGGATTCCCTGTGTTGCAAGCTCTTATCTGTACCAGTGTACATGCTCTGGTCTAGTCAGATTTGTAAAATAGAACTGAGGTCATGATAATGGGGGAGAGAGGGAGAAGCATTAAAGAACTGGAGAAATGTTTTGTTTCATCAGTGCTATATTGCACCCTGGCTGGCTCATCTCTCCCTTGTGACCCTTCTGTGAGGGGATGTCCATCCAATTTTCTACAGACAGGTTTTGGGCCTCCACTCCAAACCCCCTTGTTTGCATCAATATGATTGTTTCTTATGCCTGTTACCTGATTCTGTCGACACCTCATAATCACAAAGGCTGGTGTGCTTCTTCCATGAGGGCTTTGTTGCTTCCCAGCTAGAGGGCTACTTGTTTAATTACAAGCCTTTAAGACCCCAGACGCTATCTTCTGATAGCCAGGCACCATCAGCTTTCTTCACCACATTTGCTTATGCACACATTTTGTCTTCAGTGATTGTGTCAGGAAGACGAGCATCACGGAATGCCAGGTTATTAGAACAAAGTGTTCTGGGAGTACGTGAGAAGAGTACATTGAGGGAGTACTTGAGTAGAGGCCCAATATCTACCTGTTACCTTAATACTTAACATATAATATATGTACATAGATCTATGTCCCCATTGTTATAAATATATTTACATATGCACATGTCTGTATTTAGACCTCTTTATATGCCCCTTGCCTCCTACTTCTTTCCTCTATTTCCTTTTACTTTCTTCTTGTCCCACTACCATGTTTGACGTGCATTTGGCTTTAGTACTTCCTCTCGGCTACACTTCACTTGATCAGGTCCCAGCAGGCATTCTACTCTATGCCCTCCTCACCATCAATTTTAGATCACTTGTTCCTTTGTCCCTGGGTTTGTGGGCTCCCCGCTCCCTTTCTCCCTCGTCCCCCTCTCTCATGTCCCCCAAGAGTTGCTAAGCTGTTCAAGGTTTTTACAGTGAACACTTGTTTTGTAGGCAAGAGGAAAAAAAACCTGGTAAAAATAAGCTTTAATACTACTGTTCTGCTTTTAAAGAAATAAGCATTTCATCTAAGAAAGTGTAATGAGACACTGTATATGTGTTACTGTAACACACACAATGGGCTAGCGATAGAACGGGCTAGCGATAGATTTCTGAATCATAAGGCGGTTTCACAGAACTATAGAAGGTGATGGCACAAGGAAGTAATGGTCAACTGTCATTGTCCAATGTCAGCAGGATTTGGACACACAGACTAAGACAGCACTCAACATGTTAGCCTGGTCATCATATTGGACGCTCAGAGTTACATCCCCAGCTTCTCCAAAGGACACAGTGTGTCACCATCTTTTCTATTCTGGCTGGCCTGCACCTGTGGCAGCAAGTCACAGTAAGAAAAAAGTGGCAATGTGACAGGAGTTACAACCCCTTGCCTGCATCTGCATCTACAGGTGTATCCACAGCACTGAATGAGGAAA